TTTGATTCTTAGTGATATGTAAGGTCATCCTGTCTCAATTAATTCAATTGTTAGTGATATGTAAGGTCATCCTGTCTCAATTAATTCAATTGTTAGTGATATGTAAGGTCATCCTGTCTCAATTAATTCAATGGTTAGTGATATGTAAGGTCATCCTGTCTCAATTAATTCAATTGTTAGTGATATGTAAGGTCATCCTGTCTCAATTAATTTGATTCTTAGTGATATGTACGGTCATCCGGTCTCAATTAATTTGATTCTTAGTGATATGTACGGTCATCCGGTCTCAATTAATTTGATATTTTTGATGGGACCACTGCCTGCTAACTAAAGGATTAGGTTCTTTTGGTTTGTGCAATGAACTAAATCCCCATATAACATAACCAAATAAAATAAGTTTTGATGGTGATATATGATGTATATAACTTCTGATGGATAGCACAAGTCCCTCTCTGATTATTTACACATGCCAAAAAATAAATTCAAGATAACATTAAGGTACATTCCCATAGATATGTTCAAAATTATAGACATACAGAGTGGTGATATCAGCACATACTCTTTGTCTGTGACCCAGAAAGTTTCAGACACTTTAGTGCCAAATCAACTGGGTTTTCACTTATAGGAGACAGAGTTTCTACTATCTATTTCAATTTCAAATAACAAAGTTTACTTTGGGTCCTACGTTTCAGTTAAACGGAACCGAAAATGCTAATTTTTCAACAGCATCTAGTCTTCATCCAAAAGGATAATTGTATCATGATAAATTTATAAGACAAAAAAACTTCCACTAAAAATTGCCGAGTGTTTTTTACTAAACATTTTTTTAGGCAACTTCCTTATTTAAATTGATTAGTTTATTTTTGACAGAGGCAAAATCTGTAGGTTTCATTTTCTTGAACTTGGACAATGTTTTTGTTCAGTTTTCTTTTTCATAGTAAGTCTTGTTATTAGCTATTAAGTTTTTGTGACTAAAGTGTTTGGTTTGTTTATGATCAGGTCATATTCCATGAAATGAAACAGTCTAAGAGTAGCCCTGAAACAATCTTTCTTTTGTTTGTATACGTTTAATGTCATCTTTAATGTGGTACTGTTTTGTTTTCTTACAGAGCAGCCTAAAGATGCTCCATCTAAGAGTAGCCCTCAGAAACCAAGCAGTGGTAAGCAGGATTCCCAGTGGCCATTCAACATCGGTAGCAGCTTCTCTGGAGGTTCAAATAAGTAGGTTTTGTATGTTCACACACATGTTATTCACTTCTAAGCAGAAGTTATCTAGTTACAATTCATTATTAATTAATATGTTGAAACCCTATGCAATAGGTTATCATAATTTGAATCATAATTGTGATGGGAATACCCTTAATAGTTTTATAAAAGAAAAGGATCTTGGTGTTCTGATTGATCAGTCTCTTAAGCCATTCAAACAATGTGCTGTTGCTAATGGCAGTGCGAATAGGATTTTAAGTTATTTTATTGTGTAGGTCACTGGTTAGGCCACATTTGTAGTATTGTGTTCAGACATCAAATTGTTGAAAAAGCTTCAGAGGAGGGATATTAGGATGATACCTAAGATTTAAATGCTGTCATATGAGGACAGGTTAAGATCTCTGAAATTGTTTTCTCCTGAGGGAATCTGATTGAAGTGTTTAAGATTGTTAATGAAACTTATAGTATTGATGCATCATCTTTTTTCATACTTAATGGTGAGAATAGTAGGACTAGGAGACACACTAGGAGTTTTATATTTCTAACAAGGTGGTTGACCTTTGGATGAGATGAAAGCAGTAAATTTAGAGGAGTTCAAGAGAAGGCTTGATAAGATTTTCATTTTAAAGTTTAGTTTAATGGATGGGAAAGTCTAGATGGACCAACTTGTTGTCTTTAAATGTTATTTTACAACAGAATTTGCTCGTATTTGTTACTGAATCATTTTTATATATGGTACTTACATGTTAGTATTAACTACATGTTAAGCAGTGGTTGGTAGATCTTTTTTTATGTATGGTACTAACATGTTAGTATTAACTACATGTTAAGCAGTGGTTGGGAGATTTTTAGATTTCCTCGTCTTTTGTGAAAAATCAAGAGAGCTGACTGTGTCAATCATCCTAAAACTGAAGATATGATATTAATATTAACATTTGATAAAACTACAAATAAACCTGGTGATAAACATAGCTTTTCTATATACACTTTTCTATCATTCTTACACATAAAAGTTAGAATGCGTTGTTTCATCAGTTAGGCACACTTGCTGGATTCAAAATGGTAAAATTATTAAATATCTCTTCCAAGTTTACTTGTATGTTTGTTTAATACTTATTACATTACCTACATCATGTTCAAGTGATAAAACTAATCTTCTGAAGGAGGTGGTATTAATAATAACTAATTATGAAGGAGGTGGTATTAATAATAACTAGTTATGAAGGAGGTGGTATTAATAATAACTAATTATGAAGGAGGTGGTATTAATAATAGCTAATTATGAAGGAGGTGGTATTAATAATAGCTAATTATGAAGGAGGTGGTATTAATAATAATAATATGTGTCTTACTAACAAAAGGTGAAAGTATCTAAATGATATTTAGTTTGCACTGTTAACTTGCTGGTGAAAGTATCTAAATGATATTTAGTTTGCACTGTTAACTTGCCGGAGAGTTTTTAGAAGTGAATATGTACTGGTGCAGAATGAATACTATAAGGGTTGGTCAGAATTGTTTATACCAGCTAGTTTCACATGCTTAGCCTACTAATAAGTTATTACTCTTATTGCAGAGGAGGACGAAACCCTTTCAGTCCAGATGATCAAAACCGCTTAATGACCATAGCTCTCGTCACAACAATGGGTGTATTAGGCCTCCTGGCTTTCAATGAGATGAGGTACAAAGAAATCACGTGGAAGGAGTTTGTGAACACTTACCTTGCCAGAGGAGGGGTAAAGAAAACTTTACATTAGAGTTTGATCATGTGAACTTCAAGAACACTTGTATTAACTTTGGAAATAAGTATTTCAAGAGAATCACTTTTAAAGAATTGCCAATTACCAAAAAGTAAACTCGAGTCAATTCTGAAAATAAAGAAACTTTGGGAAGAAAAAAAATCATCATTAAAAAAAACATTCTGTATCCAACGAATTTTAAAGAAACAAATTTAAAACTACTAAAGAACCTTGATCTTGTAAACTTAAATATAACAAGAATTGGAATTACTGAACACATATTGAGGAAGTTGTTAATTTGGTTGTCTTTATGGAAGATTTATGTCTATATTTTTTTTATATGAGATATCCGTTAAAATGTGATGTGTTCTTTTAGGTGGAGAAGCTGGAAGTTATAAACAAAAAGTGGGTAAAAGTTAAGCTGCTACCTGGGAATGCAGTAGATGGGAATGTAAGTGTACATTGTTTGTTTCTCGGGATTGAATTGGTCCGTCAGTTTTGGCCACTAATTTATCTTTTTAATTGGTAGTTGGACTGTCTTTCTAATGGTTATTCAGCTTTGTCCACTTTCTTTCCTTTTTTTAATTAGTTATCCATTTCTGATTAACGTTAGAGATTTGATGAAATCGGAAATCAATTTCCATTTCATGAAATTAGTAATTGTTTCTATTCGGAAATAAAAAAAATAACTTTGTTTGGATATGAAAGTTTATTGCTGAACTTACATACAAACTTTTAAATGATTAAATATCCAATTATATTGAGTAATTACAGTAATTCTTGTGTTTTATGTAACAGGTGTTAGTCGAACATGGTGGATTACATTTTTAACAGTCATTCACAAATTAACCCACTCGGTCAAGAATAGATCCATGCAGGCATATTGTTTCTTGATAATTGTACAATATATTCCCTATATTGTATCTACTTCATAGTTTAGAATATTTCTGTATCTGTGTCACAATATCTAACATTGGATTCCAAATGGTCGATCATTATCTGGTTCCTTTTGATTTTACGAAAATGGTTAATTGATTTCAAAATTGTTGTAGCCCTAGTTATTATCTTACCTTTCTAACAAGTTATTATCATACCTTTCTAACAAGTTAT